TGTGCCACCGGGAGGGTGATCTGTGTCACCAGGGAGGTGATCTCTGTCACCAGGGGCTGATCTCTGTCACCAGGGATCTGAGCTGTGCCACCAGGCAGGCAGAGGCTGTGTCCAGCAGCCCTGGAGCAGTGCACAGCTCCCAGGGTGGACCCTGGGGATGGAGTAGGGAGCACCCATGGGATTTTTCCATGCTCAAACTGCCCGTGGAGGGCTCAGCCCTTCCCCCTGTGGCTGATCCCTGACCTTCCCCTCGCTCTCTCCGCAGTCCAAGCCACGGTGCTGTGCCAGAAGCTGATGGAAGTGGTTCCTCAGGAATCCTAGGCTGGAGGAGCAGGGACACTGAGCTCGAGGAAACGCACAACGAAATTCGGAGATGACGCACGGTCCTGATCCCTCACTCCCAGAGCCCCACCGTCCCCAGGGCTCTGCTGTGCCTCCTGCACCCCTCTGAGCCCTCTGCTCGCCGTCCCCAGGGCTCTGCTGTGCCTCCTGCACCCCTCTGAGCCTGCAGCCCAGCCACAAGAAGGTCTTGGTACGAGCTGGAGCCAGAGGAGCAATTCCCAGGGCATTCCAGAGGGATGCTGGGTCTGTGTGTGTGTAGGGGCTGTGCTGGGCTCGGGGGGATCTGTGCTTTGGGTCTGGGGTCTGCTGGAGCCTGGGGGGTGTTCTGAGAGCCTGGGGGGTCACAGGGACTGAGGGGGTCCTGAACTGCCTGGCCTGGCCTGGGGGAGGTTGGGAGGGGGAGGTTTGGCTGATGTTGGCTCACCCCCCAAACTCACACCCCATGTGGGGCACCCAGGGGCAGTGGGACAGGCAGAGGGGATTGGTGACATTAGGGGCTCTGTCTGGCTGTCCCTGTGTCCCTCCCCTGGGCCCTGCCACCCTCTGGGTTTGGATCAGTGCTCTGGGTTGGGAGGCACCTTAAATCCCACCCAGTGCCACCCCTGCCATGGCAGGGACACCTCCCACTGTCCCAGGGTGCTCCAAACCCTGTCCARGGGACACTTCCAGGGATSCAGGGGCAGCCCCAGCTGCTCTGGGCACCCAAAATGYTCTGCTCCTCCTCCGTGCACCAGCCCTGGCTCAATGAGACCCCTCAGCACCACCCTCCTGTTCCAGGAGCCATCCTCCAGCACCACCCCTGATCCCAACATGAAATCCTGGTTTGCTCTCATGGGTGGTGCCCTCCCATCCCTGAATTCCCATAGCTCCCAGCACTGTCCCTTAGGGACATCCACAGTGTCACCCTTTGGAAATCTGCAGTTCCCTGTGCTCATTGTGCCTCTGCTCTSTGACACCCTCAGAATTCCCAAGCCTCTTTTATCCCCCTGGAGCTGCTTCGCTGTGTCTGTCACAGATCTGTGTGCTCGTGCTTCGTGCAGGTGGCTTGGTGAACCATTTCCCCTTTTTGTTGCACACTTGGCCGTTGGGAAGCCGGGCTGCTCCGGGAGCTGCCGTTCCCACTGCGTTCTGCTCACGGTGTGGGGATCTTTGGGATGAAGAACATCCCAAAGGGAAGGACACCCCAGAACAGGCTCAGGTCCTGGGGAGCCCTGCAGCAGCCCAGGGTGTAGAGCAGGGGTGGTTCGTGCCCAGCTTTGGGGCCATACCCAGCTATGGGGCCATGCCCAGCTTTGGGGTTGTGCCCAGCTTTGGGGTCATGCCCAACTTTGGGGTCGTGCCCAACTTTGGGACCGTGCCCAGTGCAGCTCCTGCTCAAAGCAGGAACAGGAGACAATCAGCTCTTCATTCCATGGCAGCTGGGGTGGAGATTCCCTCCTGTGTTCATCCTGGGAATCCCTCCTGGGAATCTCCACAGGGCAGACCCCAAAGTTTTTGGCCAGTGCCTGACTGTTCAGGGCCTCTGTGCAATGAGTTGGAGCATCCCATGCCTRTGGAGAGGCTTTGGTGTAAATAAGGTCAGGAATTACAAAATCTGAACTCAGTTTTTGGCTTCTGGCAGCTGTGGGCTGAGGTTTGAGCAGTGATGGGGAGTCCTCGCTCCTGCTGGRATTGTTCTGTGGACAGGGGAGCTCAGGGATCACCTGAGCCACTCGAGGTCTGGATTTTTTGGCTGTGAGGTTTCAGGGCCTGGGCTCAGCCTGGGGGCTCTCAGTGACCAAAGCCACCAGCACAATCCCTTGGGATGCAAAGCAGAGGCATTGGGATCTCAGCCACCTCAACCCAAAGTCAGCTGGCACCAAGGGCCCTCCAGAGAGAGCTCAGGCTTGGGGCCAGACCTCCCAAAGGTTTGTTTGGACACATGGTCCAGCAGGAGATGGCCATCACCTCACAGGGTCCTCCTGRTGACCCTCCCACACTGTTTGAAAGAGGAGCTATCACACTAAAAATCCCTTTTTTAAATGAAATAACGGATTTAAATTCAATCCTTAACCTGCTCGCTTCGCTTTTTATGGATTTCCATGATTGTTCACTTGCTGCTGAAGATCTCTGTCCTGTACTAACCCGAGGTTCTGCACTGATCCCCTGGGGATCTCCTCAGCATCTCCTTGGCAATAGAGGTTCAGGAAGAAMCTGAACCAAGTACCAGCACAGAGCCACAAAAACGCTGAATTTGGTCAGCCACAGCTCACATCTCAAAAGTTCTCTTCCAAAAACCCAATTTCTTTCATCCCAGAGTTGTTGCCCCCATAGCTGCCCTCACCCAGATCTTGGTGACGTGGCTGGAAGAATTGGGTTGGTTTGTCCTGGAGATTTGGGAGATGATGAGGGAAGAGGTAAAACTGAATTTCATTTTATAAAGCAAAGACAATGAAGTTCCTGCAGTTGAGGAAATGGCTGCCAGCAGCCTCTGCTGTCCAGGGTTGGATCAGCCACCAGCTGCCCTCAGCTCACGTTGTTCCGATGGATTTTGGTTTGGAAAGGGAGAGCACATCCCTAGGAAAGCTCTCCTTGCTGCTCATTGTCCTCAAAGGTGGAGTGAGTTGTGTTAGGGAGGGCAGGGGAGCCACACAGAGCCCCCAGGATGGTTCCCAGCACCGAGCTGGGATTGTTCCTGGTGTTTCTCCATCACTCCCTTTGCAGCTCGTGGTCAGTCCCAGCTCCTGAATSCACTGAGGGGATAAACCCTGCACCCACAATGTTCTAAAGGAGGTTCCATGGGAATCTCTTCCATGTGACAGCTCCTGCAGTGCTGCCAGAGCTGTTGTGTCCGTGGAGTTCAGGATGGAAAAGACCTTGAAGGTCACGAGGCCGTGCTGCAGCCACCCCGTGCTCCTTGGGCTGACCCCTTTGCTGTCCTCTCTGGTTGTTTTTGAGCCCAGGCTCCCAGGCAGGTGCTGTTTGGGGTGTTCACGGAATTGCATCCCACAGGGATTGCTAAACAGAGCGGGAGCTGCTGCCCAGGCGCTTCCGTACCCGTTGGGTTCCTCTTTCTAAATGAGAAATCTTCCTCCAGCTGGGAGAGGAACCAGCCCTGCAAAAATCGAGGATTTATGTCATCTTGGTGGATTTTTAATGGCTTTTTTTTTTTTTTTAAACTTCCTGCAGAAATTTGCAGTGTTTTCCATCTCAGACACCGTGTTCTGGTAAACAGGCTTTTGTTTGGGAGGGCCCCCTCGGTGGCCACGGAGTTCAAAGGGACTCTGGCACAGTTGAACAGACTTTAAAGGCCCTTCAGCTGGACTTTGTTGTTCTCCAAGCCCTCTCCCAGTGGGTGGCTCAGACAAGGGRATAAATTGGGCTCCTCTGAGGGCTGCTGGTGGTGGGTCTGGGCAGAGCACAGCTCTTCCCTGGAGCTGGGACTTCCCAACCCTGGACAGATGTTCTTGGGGCAGARTCGTGGTGTGGCTGCAGGGAATCCCAGGGAATATTTCCACTCTGAGAGGTACCTGTGCCTTCAACCGAGGCCACGGCGCTTTTGGGCTTTAATGAGAAATCAAATTGAGAATAAAAATCCCTGTGGAAACTGCCAAACGCTGCCATTGCACAGCGCTCCCGCGGGATTCCAGCTCTTCCAGCATCCWTTGTGCTCTCCTGCCATGAGAGGGGAGGGCATTGGGAAAGCAGAGCAGCTCCCAGGGCTTGGGAAAGGGCAGCACAAGGGCACGGTGGCTCCATATCCCGGGGCTGGGGCTGAGCTCTGTGACTGAGCCCAGTGTTGAATCCCATCCTGGCTCTGGGATGAGCCTGACCAAGCCCAGCTTTGAATGCCATCCCAGCTCTGGGATGAGCCTGACTGAGCTCAGCATTGAATGCCATCCCAGCTCTGGGATGAGCCCAACCAAGCCCAGCATTGAATGCCATCCCAGCATTGAATCCTATCCCAGCTCTGGGATGAGCTCGACTGAGCCCAGCATTGAATGCCATCCCAGCTCTGGGATGAGCCCAGCATTGAATCCCATCCCAACATTGAATCCCATCCCAGCTCTGGGATGAGCCTGACTGAGCCCAGCACTGAATCCCATCCCAGCTCTGGGATGAGCCTGACTGAGCCCAGCATTGAATCCCATCCTGGCTCTGGGATGAGCCCCAGCCAGCCACACTTGGCTGCCAACCAGGGAGAGCCCTGCAGGGATGGCAAAATGCTCCCTCATCCCTGCCAGGACATCCCAGGACACCTCGGTGCTGAGGATGCTCCAGGGGCTCCTCGTTCCTTCAGGAGTTCCAACAACCCAGGATTCTGCTGGGTTTGCCTGGGCTCGAGTTCTTCCAGCTGGAACTGGAGCTGGGTTGGGAATGTGAGTGGGGGACGCTGCTGGTGGAACTGAGAGCTCCCAGTTTGGTGATGCTGTGGTAGGAAATGTGGCTCGGGGTCGATGATCCCAATATCCAGAGGATTATTTTATGTTTTCCCCCATCCCCAGTTCCTTTCCTGAGAAGGGGTGCTGCTTCCTCCAGCTGTTACAAGGTGATGAGGAAAAAGAGAAGTATTTTTTTAAACACTGAATTAATTTCTAAACTGCCTGAAAGAGAGTTTATAGCTCCACCTGACCCTTCCCTGACGTTCAGCCTGGTGCAGGGGCTCTCCCCATCCCCATCCCTGGGATGTGCCTGGCTCTGCCTGCRCTGGGATCAACGTCAAACACGGGGAAAAAAAAATCCCTTCTTTGTTCTGAGGATGGGGAGGTCCAGGTCCCACCAAAACCCTTGGAGAGGGAGGATTTTGGATGGTACCCAGACCTTGCTCCGACCTTCAGAACAAAGGAAGGGTGTCCTTCTTCACTCCTGGTGAAGARTCTGACTTTTCAGAGACACTTTGCTTTGTATTTTTGTTGGTTTTTTTTTTAAAAAAAAACCCACACACAGAAATAAAAGCTCTTAACACACACAAGGAAAACCTAGACCTGATTTACAATTTTTGTTACATTTGGTTGCTTTAAAAAAAAACCTATTTTACTAATTTAAATATTGCTGTAGATGACACTCTATTTATTTGAAAGGGGTAAATATCTTTTAGTCTTAATCCTTCTCCAGTAAATGCTATGTATTCCCAACGTTTGTGTTCCTGGCAGCACAGCAGTTCCACTGATGAGGGCTGGTCAGCCAGTAGCTCCTGAATCCAATGGCCTTGGACAACAAGATGTCTCTTGCAATGTATTTTATTTTCTTTTTTTTTTTTTTTTTTTTTTTTTTTTTTTTTTTTTTTTTTTTTTTTTTTTTTTTTTTTTTTTTTATAGGATTTCTCGATTCTTTTATTTCTGTGGTTTAACATTTCTGTTCGATGTTTGGGTTGTTCTATGTTTTGGGTT